ATACCTTACCTATCGTAAGTCTCTCCTTTGTTGCTTACTGAATGTGGCTACTTGCATCCTCCCTAGATGGAAAGACTCTGCCCCACCCACAAATTCTATGTGAATCAAGAAAGTGGAAGAAATTAGGAGGATGGAAGACCTTAGACACTACACAAAACAAGTGCGAAGCCCATCTTTGCACTTGGAACTACTGGGTCACCTTCCTCCTCTCATATGAGTGTAAGTCCCTTTTGCTGAGTTATTCCTGAACAATTCTACTTTACTCCATCATGGACCCAGAGATGGGATTCCCATTTTACACCTTGCCCTTTATTTCCTTCTCATCCTTACAGATGCTCTTACAGTTTCAATTGGAACAGCTTTCTCTCACATCCTTGTCTATTTGATTAAGTACAGATCTGATGTATTTTTATTACCTTTCATTGTTATATTATTCATACATCTTTGATTGAGCTCCACAGTTATTCTCTGTAATTGAATCTGATGTTTCAATAAAGAATTTGAAAAAAAATAATAAAGGAAAATAATAAACTAGCTATGCTAAGAGTGATTTCTCTGTAAAGGAGAAGAGGTCCATCACCTTATGACACTAGCACAAAACAGCACTCATAAAATGGAGTAGGGTTATAGTGGAGGTGTCCTTGAAAGTCTTGCCAGTGTCCAATCACCTGAAGGTACAAGCCTATAAATCTAGGTATACTTTTATCCATGTCCTGTACTGTACATTTAAGATATGATTTTTTTTTTTTTACATTTGTGCAAAAAACACAAAACAGTTCTGGCAGCAAAAGGATTAAGGCCAAAGCATCAGCATGACAGCCAGGAATCTAGCATTTTCAGGAGGAGGGATCATCAACAGCAGTCTAAGTACTTCTTTTTGGGAAGAACACTCCTAGTACAAACCCAGTGAGGGGATAACACATAGCTAAGATTAAAGTAAACAGAGTGTTTTCTTGTTCGCTGTCTAGGTTCAGGGATTAATTCATATTTTCACAACAAGGGCTAGTATAGCAATAAACTAAGGGCCCCCTGTCTTCCTTTGTCATAAATATTTTGATAAATATTTCTCTTAATGCCTCATGTGCCCCCAAATTTCATGTTGTGAACTTCCCTCTAATTAAAAAAACCGTTATATTACCTAAGTCACATATACTGATTAAATTACCTGTGTAAAGTAAAGGAAACTCATTAGATGTGGTAAATAATGAGCACAAAGTCTTGATTAAAGGGGTCTTCCTCCTTGTGATAAGTATTTTGCTAACCCTTCCCACACAAATATCCCTTGCATGTGTAGGGTGAAGTCTAATAATTTCCAAGGTGGTCCTGTTACATTTTCAATGGTCATTCCATCAAATGTTAAAGAAACTATCGTGTACATGAACTGTGGGGCACACTAACTAGTGGTGAAAGGCTGTGCTCCATGAACACCACAAGGCAAAAACCATCAGAGCCTTGCAGTTTGGGTAAGTGTCTGCTATTAGCAAAATGCTAAGCAGTGGGTTGTGAAATACAAAAAGGTACACATAACTAATTTCCATGGGAAAAGTCAAAGAAATTCTGAAAGCATTACCTTTTGGGGATATATTAGGCCTGTAGTGGAGAAACACTGCATTCAGGAATACCTGTGACTTGACTTTTTCTGGAGGACAACAGGCCAGCTTACATGACATTGTAAAAATACACACATAGGTATGGGCCACAATCATCACATATGCAGGTAACCACAGAACCAGGGCTTACAGTTCAAACATACCCAGGGCTTTAGACCATTTTATATGAACAATCCAAGGTCTAGGAACATTTCAATACTAGTGCAAAAAACAGGATTTTACATACAGCATACTCAGCCTAATCATTAATATCTATAAGTATCTTGTTTGTATCTTCTAAGATATTTGACATACTAATCTTGCTTCTATCCTTGTTAAGGAAATGCCAAGATAAAGGTGTACATCAAGTGGAGTTGAAAACCCAAAACTTTCTTCTGTTGTCCTGACCTTCATGCACATTAACATATGTCAGGTCAGAACCTTAGGGTTCAGTGATTAAATGCCATCTTTACTAAGGTATCATTGATTGCAGGATTTCCATCACTGTCTTTGTCAAGTAAAGTCCCAATCCTGCGATCAACTTCAAGGCAACAGCAAATCTATTACTGCCACGTCACTGTGAATATTTTAGAAAAGAGAATAATGACACCTCGAAAGACTCCCTGCTTAGAAACTGTGATTCCTTTTGGCTCAGTGTAAGTACTTTCATTAGAGTCCACACTCTCAGCTTTAACATTTGTTGAGCAGACAAAATGAGTAATTGTTTTAGGTAACCACACAGGCTGTTTACATGATGGCAGAGACAAGATGGAAAGTGGGTTTTTTTCTTAACATCTTGAATTAGTTTCAAGTGTGCCATTTTGCATTTAAATGTAGAAAGACACGGAAACTAATCCTTTATATTCTATTAGAAAACAGCCACTGTCCCCTCTCTCTCATTATGGTGCAGA